ATGGCCTTACCTTCCGGGGTAGGGTCAAGTTCAACCATGACCATGTCCATAGGGACACGGGTTCTGGGGTGCCTAAGACGTCGCACTGCATGTACGGGGTATCCCTGAGTGCGGATGTCGACTTTAGCCTTATCGACATCCGACTCTTTGGGGACGCCCTTTATTACTACCCGAAGTTTACGCTCTTCGGGCAACGAGTAGGTGTGAAAACCTACCTTATTTTCGCGTAAATACTTGGTTACGCGGCGGAAATCGTCTGTTGTGTCCAGGTATACGCGGATACCCATGTGTGTATTTTTTGACCGGAGGTCGCGGATGTTGTGGCGTTCAAACCACGAGCATACTTGATGCCACTTTGCCTTTTCTTGAATAATTATTGGCGGCGGTGGCTTAATTTTTCGCTCGGAGGCGAATTCGGGTACCAATTCGCCTCCGAGCTGCCTTTTTGGCGGGCTTTGCGGTGGGACGGTTAGATGGGGCGGCCTCGCATTCGGGGTCGCTGTCAGTTGCGGGGCGTTTTTTGCCCTTTTTGCGCGACTTTACGACGGTGAAGCCGTCGGCGTTCGCGTTATCAGCGGGGGTCGTTTCGACCTCCATGTCCGAGCCGCCGTCCGATTGTAAGTCGGGAACGACATCGCGGAAGGGGGCCGAAATTGGTTGCGCGGCGGCGGAAGTCGACGCGACGGGCGTTACTAGTGTCGCAGAAGGCGACTCATTAGCTGGCGCAGTCGGCACCGGAGATGGCGGCGAGGCGACTGCCGGTGAAGTCGGGTTGCCGCTAGCGTATACGACGACGCGGCGTTTCTCCGCGGCGAAGGCGAGAAAGCCGCGCCACATTTCGGGGCATCGTTCGTGAATGAATTCCTCTAAGAGGGAACCCATAACGGCGCTTGAACCTTAGGAGCTTGCGCCCCGCGTGTAGTTTCTAAATAGGCCTCCCCACCTTGCGGCAGGGAGGTGTGTGCCTAAAACTAACAACTATTTCACCTGCGCTTTAGGTGCGCTAGGGTGGGTACCTAGCTGTCGCCTATCGCAACAAGCACACAGCTATTAAATAAAACAATGCCGCCTCTGAGGCGAGAAGTGTGTATGGAATTCTACTTACAAAACAGGAACGTGCCTACGAGCACAACACTACACTAACACTAAACTGCAGCACTGCTTGCACAAATATTTAATTTGCAACCGAAGTTGCGAGTAGCGTCTAATTCGGGTGGCATGAGCCCTCCGTCTTAGAGAGAGGTCCGTTCCGTACGAGAGCACGAAGCGGAATGATGCATACTTGCTAGATTGATCCCGCGGAGCCGCCATTTGGCAGGTACCAGGCAAGTCAAGTAGTGCTTACTTTTCTTAAACTCTCAGTGCTGATTTTTACGTAAGTTATAGAAAATATTGTAAGAAATTAATAATCAATATTGCCAGATACTCTCTGTCGGCGGTAACTTTTACCAGACACTAGAAATCTCTCAATTGAAAATCTCAAAAAATATTGTAATTCACGAAAATTCTCAGTCTTGATTTTTTTTATATGATATTGAGGGGCGTATTTATCCACACAAACATAATGCAAGCAGTGTGGCGCGAGAGACGAGACAGACTAAACAATCTTGTGATTGTTTTGTCTGTCTCGTCCCTCACTATTTTACTAGGTATTTGGAAAAGAACGTACAATTCACTCTGCTTAGCACCATGGATAATGTTTTAATCAAGTTAAATATTCTAAAAGTTCTAGCTACTTGATAGCTATTTTGGTAAAAACCAAAATTGCGTAAAAAGTCAATTAAGGATTTTTTTTCCTGCCAAAAACTTCATCTCTTACAACCCTTACGACTCAGTAGAAAGTCAGAACCAATCCACATATCAAATAAACATATAGTACCCGGAGGACCGAGCTTTGCGAGCCGAGCTAGCGGTTTTTTTTTTGGTAAATCGTGTATTTTGTAAATTACATTTAGATACAAATTACTAAGTAATGAAATATGCATATGTTTCGATCTTACCGACGTAATTATAAGAAAATATGAACTGGTGTTTTTCACAGAACTCAACACAGAAGAAAGAACTTTAAAAAAAAAGGGATAAAAATAACAAAATAACTAATCGACAAAAAAAATAACAGATAAAGAAAGCAATGATCTGGAAAAAAAAGTAAAAAAAATAAGTATGTAAATGATCGTGACCACGGCCTTCTGTTTCGTGGCGGGTTTTTTGCGGCGAAATTTGCCGTCGTATTCGAATGATATTTTTCATTCCCTGAAAACAGGGATAAAAGGACATTTTCTAAAAATAAAACCTAGTCAGATCGATTTTTCGCCCCCGAATCTACGCACATACTAAATTTAATGAAAATCGCTGGAGCCGTTTCCGAGATTCCAATTATATATATATACAAGAATTGCTCGTTTAAAGGATAAGATATTTTTTAATATGCAACTGCCATGGTAATATCACTCATGGTTTTGATTTATCAAGGCTTCAGTCTAAATGTCGACTTTAAAACATTTACTTTTTTTGCTTGTATGGCGGTTTCAAGATTACTTCATAATCGAATAGAGTTGTGGGACATTTAACAACACTATTCCGGCAGTGAGCATCGGGTCGCGAAAAAAGTGACACAAATACTACCTCAATAGGCGCTTACACCATAATAATCATTGCCCGTCGATAATAAAAACAATGCCAGTGCAATCGCTATTTCTATACATTATTTCTCAAAGGTGTCTTTGTCGGCACCCCATAACTTCCATAATTCTACATCAAATTAAATTATTTAAACAACATTTAAAAGCTTTTGTTTGCCACTATTGACGAAACATAGACACGTAGAATTAAGTTATTTTCCTAAAAAAAATTCGTTTTTAAAAATTTCTTATAATGAATGTATGACAATGCCATCTATTGAATCAATTTGTTTAAATGAAAGTAAAAAAAGTAAAGTAACAGCCTATACATGTCCCACTGCGTCCCGGGCAAAGGCATCCTCTATACAGATGGTATCAGGGCATAGTCCACCACGCGGCCCCACTGTGGATTGGCGGACTTCACCTATCGTCGAATTTTTTTTTTGTTATTATTTCGAAAATATGCAGGTGTCCTCACGATGTTTTCCTTCACCGCGGAGCACGTGATAAGTCAGCACTTAAAGTTAAAAACTTCATTGGTGCCGGCACCGGGGATCGAACTCAGGTTGCTCGAGTATATTGAATTAAAGGCGAGCGCCCGGACAGCGAGAGCTATCACGGCTCGGCTCTAAATGAAAGATGAAAACTTTATTCTTCACAATAAGACACTTCATAGATAAGTATTTATTTACATTACTATATGACCCATTCGATGATATTGCTGAGTACGGTGCAAAAATATCGCACGGATCAACTAGTATGAGTTAACATAATATGTCCTTTTTAATGATAATATTAAATTTGAAAATAACAGTTTCTAACAGAGTTTTTATACAGGGTTTTTAACAAAACGATGCCTAGAATTGCGTCTTCTGTTGATTAAGCTAATATAAGTTAAATGTTTATGATTCATGAGTTCACGGTGAGTGTTAACGGCAGGGCCTTGAAGGACTTGAAGAACTAGTGAAAAATCGTGAAATACAGTAACATAGTGCGTTAACAGGTTGCCGAAACGAAGTGACGGTTTATTTCAGGGCTATACTTCCTGCGGAGCATTGGAGCATTTTGGGTGAGTACGAATGAGAGTCCTGCTGACCGAGGAAATATTTATTGAAGATTCTCCAATAACAATTAAAACATAAGTATAGACACATAATCTTATAGTTTTTAAAAACTTAAGTTAATCTTATATCACATAGGTATTCCCTTATTTATTCATTCACTTACCTTACTTTACTACTGCCTTTGCAAAAATATAAGGTCTTAATTTAACATTAAAAAAACATTTTCTTTATTTAAAATCTGTGGTATCAATTATGAGATGACAGACTACGTTGAATCTATGGAGTATTTTTACGATAATTGGTAATGGTGGAATTCTATCATAATCGTAGTAAACAATAAAACACCTTAACCAATTTCGTAAACGTAAGTATTGTGATGAAAAAAACATGGAGAAGCCGTAGTATCCTAATAATAAATTCCGTAGGCGCAAATACAAGTGCATATTCTGTCTACTAAAATAATATTAGCAACTTAAATTACCGCATTACTTTAAAATACCTATTTGCCATCATCCAAAATGTAAAATACACAATGTGCACCGTCAAAATCTATTTGACTTCTATCACATTACACAACCACTTACATTGCATTAACCCCACAATAAATCTTATGAATCGATGACATCAATCACGTAATAACGCGATATTCCATCCGAGGGCTCATCATAACCTTTTAAAAGATCTTTTGTGCTGTAAAAAGCTCTCATATAACGTATTATCAAATAATAGAAAGGTGTGAATTTTCACAGCCGGTGTTCGTGGCCCCACCTACTTAAGATGGCGGTGTCCCCTCCATCAGATTATCAGCCAGTAGCGTTACAGAATCACAGTGAGGTCATACCTACAGCCACTGTAGCTGCTCCTTTGGCACCACCTATTTTCGGAAGTAATTATCACAACGAGATCGTAGGAGAGAGAAAATTTAGTACCTCAACGGCTTCAACCATCGATGGAATCCTACGGTTGGGCAATCTGTTGAAATACTTTCAACTAGTCAAAAATGAAAAATCGGAAAATATAAAAGTCAATAATGAATTCTATTAATTACATATCGAGCACCTGTGAAGACTCGGATCCAGTAGTTGGAAAAAATCAATTTAGTGAATGTGCAGGAAAGGATGACTCATTCGATTGTGAATCTGAAACTGAGTTTGATAGTGAAAATGAAACTGTTGACGTCATTTGTGAAAACAGTGGGATGTCTATTCGGGAACATAATTCGGTTAAATTTAATACGTTTTCAAATCCATTTGGGAGAGCCGACGGCGTTTTTATATTTGAGCAAGACACTGATAAATCTGTGTTTAAAACGAATATGGTTTGTGATAGTGAGACTGTCAAAAAGAATGAAAGGAAAACAGTAAGTAGGACAATAGACGGCAAGAGCAAAACTTTCCTCATTGACGATATACTTGGCAATCATAGGAACACCAGTCCAAGAAGGTCTGAACAAAATGATCGCGGTCGACTTGAAGAAAACGCGGATGAATATAACGGTATGTTAATTTAGTGTTTGTCAGTAATATAAGTTTACGTTTTACTTTGTGGTAAATGAGAACTGTCAACTATTAACAACCATAACCCTAGTGGAATTATTTTATTGGCCATACTTCTCAAAAGTTCAACCACACTACGAAAAAACTAAGCATTTTTATTATATCTTTGATCGTGCAAATGCCATGCGACTGTGTTCGCTATTACAGGAATGCATGTCCGTCCGGGTAAGTATCACGACCTCGTGGGAGACCGACGTGAAATTAATATAAGTGTTATACTTCTGCGTTTTGTCTGGTAAGTAAGGTATCCGGAGCCCACTTTATCATGAACTAGCAATGCAGCCCCGTGGGTGTTGCAAATGCGAATGGGCAACGATTACCACATAATATCAGCGGCCAATTCGCTTGACAGTCTCAAACATAAAAAGAGATTTGGGTTTAGGATCCCACAATGCTAGTTTTTGGATATTATTTTTACAAAAATTCACATTTTACGTCAACATATTCCTGTAATATGAATTTCATGTTACGATTATAATGTAATTAATGAAATTTATTTTGATAGTATTGAAATTCTGATTCTAAATGTTAGAATTAATTCTTTATGTTAGAATTTTATAACAAGTAATTCAATTCTAAAAGAATTATAATTCGCATAATTATATCAGTTTCACTTAAGCATAAAACAAATAAAAATTTATAAATTCGCATAAATATAATATAGGTATAATAAAGTAATAAATAAATTAATACGAAAATACATTTTCGGATTTTTCGCAAACAGACTTTTCAGTTTACCTGGGTCTTATTAAAACTGTTTAATTTCTTAATATTATTTTATTTTTATAATGTCTATCGTATATGGCAATTTCAACCAGAATGAAAAAACTTAAATCATTAAAACGTTAAATTTTATTTTTTTAAATAATAATATCAGTTAAAAAAATATAATTAATTATCTAATATTTACAAGATTAAATCTATCTTAAATTACATATTATCTAACAAACCTTATCCACGCGTCATGGTGCCAAGAACGCTGGCTGCATTTCCTCGCTGAATAGTTAGTTATGCTTAACCTTTGAGCGGAACAAATCGGATAAATCGGCTTTCATCTTTAAGTAATGTGCCCAAGTTACTTGATGGTAAAGCATGAAGCCGTGCATTCTTAAGATGAGACGCCTAGGAAACGGGCACGCTCTAAATTACTTTCTAAAGATTGAAACATATCTTTCTGTACTCTCTGCACCAAGGAAACATCCCACTATTTTTGTAGGTTTACTTCCAGTGGGATATTTTCGTTGGAGCAGATAAAATAATAATAATAATATAATATTAGTTGTAGTTTTTCAAAAATTTCGAAGATATGTGAAGTCCGCCAATCCGCAGTGGGGCCGCGTGGTGGTCTACTATGCCCTAATACCCTCTGTACAGAGGAGGCCTTTGCCCAGAAGTGGGACATGTATAGGCTGATACTAGTTATAGTTTTTAACACCTCTCAATTTGAAATTGAATATTTTTTGTGTAGTTAAATATTATTTTGCAGCCAACTGAATTAAAGTTGCAAACTAAATATTAATACTATTCCCCTGCCTAAACTCACTTTTATACTTTATACTTTATACGTTTTTCCTGAATATAGAAGTGAAATACCTTCTTCGATCGATCTATATTTTAATTATTATCGTATTTTACGAATTTTACGATGCAAAGTTATTTTAATTACTTAAAAACTTAATTAAAACGATAACATAATAATAATTTCTCACATTCTCTTTTATAACTTTATAAAAAAAAACCATAGTGAAATAATATATATAACAAAATCAAAAATATGTTATTTATTTCAAATTATTTCTTATGTATGCATTTTTTACACAATACCAAAATGATATAGTATAAAAAATAAGTAAGACAAGACGTAGACTTTTTGGTCAGAACGGAATGTTAAGCAGTCTTTTTTATGCTTGGATTTCAATTTTGTTGCAAATACTATTTTGAAAATCGTATTTTTAATATAATTACATAAAATATTACTTGTACGAAATACTTTATAAAAAGTAATGATTATAATTTTCTTGTCTCCAGTTTCATCAACATCGACTTGTCAAGAATTCTCAACTCTGAACAGCGCCGAGCTACTCGCGAGTCATGCTTATGCGCATTGGCTGGCAAGCCATCAACCATCGACAACATATTATGGTACCGATTCCCCTTATACACATTTAATAAAAAAAAACTTTAAATCTATTAATGTTGGATCGTAAAAAAACTAATTGATTGTAAATGTTTGAAACTTGTATTGGATTTAATTTATTTGGATAGGATTTAATTTATATTCCTTACAGAATTCCAAGCCTGTGGTTAGTTAGTTTAACGTGATATATTATAAAAGTTTCAATATGTAACGTTGACTCATTTAAAATAAGATGAAACTCACTTATTATCTGACAAAGAAAATCAACTGTTATATTTTTTCCTTAATTTATTCAAAGATGTCTTAATCTTACTTCTTGTAAAAGCTCATAATCTTAACAAAAATACTTTTAATTAAGCAAAAATAAAAAAAGAGTCTTTCTAACATTTATTTTTTCTTCATATTATGTTTTAAAATTCATTATTTATTATTTCTCAAATGTGTTATTTCGTCGGAACGTTATAATTTTTATCATTCTTAATGAAGTTTTTTAATTCAAACCATTTTAAAGTTTATGTTTGCCGCTATTGGCGAAAAATACACAAATACTTAGATTATAACTTCATGTTTTCACAAAAATTAGTTTTTCTTTGAATAAAACATAAACGAAATAGACTAAGTTTTACCTTTATTCTTCAAAGTATATAAGATACCTTTAAGGACAGTCACTTGCACCTTATTAAGAATATTAAATAAAAAATGTGCACCAAATTTCGCATGGGTCATTTACATAGTTAAAATATAATTATATAAAGTGTCAGGATTCGGTGGTAAAACGCACTTGATAACGGCTGAACTAATTGGACTATTTTTGATGGTTCGTTACGGTCAGATTAAGATGTCAGGAAAGAAAACTCTGAAGTTTCCCGAATTCAGGAAAAACTTACCGGCCTTTTTCTATGGAATTTTTATATAAACTCAAGAGCATACATAGAGCATAAACACGGTTTGAGCGATTGATATGGGTTACAATTTTTTGTGTTTTGTTAATTAAAACAAAACAAATGAAAAACGAAAATACTAGAAATCTTTTTATTTCTAACATTACATTACTTTGTATTTCTGTAGAAAATACAATTTAAATGTCGCTTTTCATCATGATGAACATTATAAAAAATATAGTATTTCTAGAGGAACAGCTTAGCTTTAATATGCTCCTGGCTGGAAATAATTTCGAATATTTTTAATCGAAATAAAAAGAATAGCATAATCTGGAGAAAAAACGTGAAAAACGCACAACGGTCTCAATTCAAATAAAATTAAACTAGTAAATTAAACTAATCCCATTGCTTGGCAGTGATCTCCTCACTATGGAGGGGCTTAGAATATAGTCTACGAAGGATTGATACATTTCATGTTTCGAAACTTATTAATTTTATTATAATTTTGAAGAATTAAGAATTTATGTAGGTTTCATGACGATATTTGTCTTTCATCTCTGAGTGAGATGAAAAACGTGAACGTCTCACGTCACAAATCACAAAAAAAATTCAATTTATAATTTGCCGTATAAATACTGGGATTTGTTTTCACATTTCGAATAGTTTTTAAAAGTTGATATATAGACCACAAATCAGGTCAGCTAGTTATATGATATTAATTATTAACTGAAGGAGGCGTTCTGTGCATCATTAATTCAAAAAATTACATTGAAAAACTATTATTTGTATTAAAAATGTAATCTATTAACAAAATTTATGGAAAAATGGACGAAATTTCTTTCGAGAAAGATTTTTTCTTGAAAGATTTGAGCCTGCGTCCTCCAGTATTGCGTATACTGACCCTGAATCTCTTATCACTGAATTAATGACTAATCTTCACACTGAAAATCTCAATGTTTTCATCTTTATGTAATTGTATTTCTCATGTAATTGTATTTTAAGCAAAGCTTGGTTCTTCTTTTCTATAAATAACCATTCTATTCATTCACGCACTCAAACGAACTTGTGTGCGTGGTAGTTATGAATGATCGTAAAATAAATAAGTTTCGTATAAATCACGCACTTTTTGAGATATGTTCAAATGAATGTAATTAATTACTTATCGGATTTAAAATATTTATCATTTTTATATAACATTATTTATGTCTAGAATTTAATATAAAATGGATACACTTAGCCTCCTGGATACAAAAGCCTTCCTGTATATATGTATATAGATGATGTTAAAAATATTAAAGTAACAGGCCATATACGTCGCAATACTGGGTAAAGGCCTCCTCTATACAGAGGGTATTAAGGCATTGTCCACCAAGCGGCTCACTGCGGATTGGCGAACTTCACACATCACCGAATTATTATTTTTTTCACGATGTTTTCCTTCACCGCTGAGCAATTCATAAGTCAGCACTTAAAATTAACGATTTCAGCAGTGCCGGCACCAAGGATCGAACTCAAGATTGAAGAAAAGATTGCTCGAGTATATTGAATTAAAAGAATAAAATTTTAAAACACGTACTAATTACAAGAATTCATTGACCAACAATATTTAGATCAGGACAAGCTTTGTTAAGGCACAGATTGACACATAGATACCGGATTCAATCAGATAAATGGTATTAAATTCCATTTTATTACTAAGCTTTCAAGTATAGTTGTATGTACATTTATAAATCATTGTTTTCTCTCTTCTCATACATACGGTAGACCAGAATCCAAATTGCATTGCGTGACAAGACCCGAGTGTAATTCTTCGCACGCATCACTCCACGAGCGCGCACGCAATCGTCCCCTCTCTCAACACTTTATTTATGTTTTAGTAAACTCCGTATAATTTCTCTATTACTTATCACCCCGTGTTATTCTATAATTATATAATAAAAAATACTATGATTACGGACTCATAATTTCGTTTGGAATAATAAACTCTAAACCTTAGTAGTCACGTGAGTGAATTTTTAAATGTTTACAGTGGTTACAAATCCTATCAAAAACATAAATTTGAAATGAGAGACAAGTTTAATAATATGATACATGCTTTGGTAGTTGACTTCAACGACAAAAGAAATGAGATCTAAATAGGTGCCAAGTTCAATGATCAGTCCTGAAATTTATTTATAACAACATAAAATATTTTTATAACAACATAAAATATTTTATAACAACTTAAAATATAATTTCTCTTATAACTTATATAATTTTTTTTTTTTTTTTTTATGTGAAAAGTTGTCAAACGAGCAGACGGTTCACCTGATGTTAAGTGAATACCGCCGCCCATAGACATCTGCTACACCCGAGGGTTACAGATGCGTTGACAACCTTTTCAAAATTGGGCTCCGGTCACCTCACTCACCAGACGAAACGCGAAAGTATTTGTCATACTTCCACTTTACGCCGGTCTTCTGTGAGGTCGTGGTACTTACCCGGATGGGCCTGCCCATTCGTGCAACAGCCGAGGCTGCTGCGTGGCCCTACCACCGTTAAAATATATTGAAGCCTAAGGTCTGAGTACATGCCGTCACGCTATTATTATTTTCACCGATTTAGGAGGCCGCAAAGCTCTCAGGTCGCTTTGGGGGACGCTCCTTGGAGTAACTAGGCTCAAGGGTCCCCAAGAGGGGACCTCGTCTTGGGCTGTTACTCAGTACCCGTTTAGCATTCCGATTCGAGGATGCCCGAGAGGGCCGCACCTCGACTCGATGGGCATAGTGAATTAGGCCACAGCTCGTTCTTATTTCTATTTGCCAATCACTCTAACTGTTATGACAGTTTGCTAACGATCGTGTTATATAAAAATATTGCTTAAATAAAAAAAATAAAATGAAAACGAGTAGAATAAACTAGGTATCCATCACATTAAATAAGAAAGAAAAATACTACAAAAATAAACGAAGTCCTTATTAACACGGTGGGTATATATGACCAGCGAAAAATTGTTCCATTTATATATGAAAGAAACAACTTCATTGATTTACATAGTTTGCTTCATTTAATCTATTTAACATGAAAGTGCTGTCGAATCTATCATTATTGCTGTGGTAACAAGGAAAGGTATTAATCTAATGGAGTCAATTCACATACCAGTAAGAATATTTGAGATTAGTATTTTATCGTAATTCCACGGTGACAAACAGTAAACCTGGTAACAACCAGGTTAGAAATACATAAAAATAGAGACTTGATTAAACAATAATCCATACGGTTTCTATGTATTGGTAAAGGTATTGTATTTGTAACATGTATATTTAAAGGAAACGGTGCAAGATATGTGCCTTTTAAGCAATTGTGTACTTTATGACGAAATCGTAATATATATAATTACTATCTACAGATTTCATTTAAAATTCGTCAATGTATTGAATAATAATACATTAACGCTATTTACTATATGTATAAAAATTACACGTTTATACGTATGTGTACGTACGTGTATACTATATGTGAACGTACGACTTATTTAGACAAGCTTAAAATAATTCATATAAAAGTAGCATCAAAATACTTTAATACAAAATAAGTTAACATAATCTAAAAAAAATATTTTACAGATAAAAAAGCGTGACTGGCGAAATAAACAGGAATTTGAAGCAATTTGTTTGTGTGGTTAGACATCGCTTCGGACATATTTCAGTGGCAATAAATTAGTGTGAGGGTGCCATATCTTGGAATAAGCCGGGGGTCCGCCGGTAAACCGAACTTTCTATGTCAACTTGATGTGTCACAATTTCACATCGTTAACTTACTAAAGACCACTGCAAGTAATAAGTTCTTAAGTTAACGGTGAATGTAATACCATGAAACTTTTCTAAGTAAGAAGGTTGTGAAAATAAAAATATCAGTAAAGATGGGACATTCATACTGTAAAAATAAATAACTTCTCTTTAATTGATATAAGTATGTCAGTTAAGAATTCATTCCATTTAATTACAATAACAATGTAATAATTTTGTACAGTGTTAATATTAAAAAAAGTGGTTTAAATGATATAAATAAATAAACTGCAAGAATAGGATTTTATTTAACCTTGTAATAAATGCTACTAAGAGGTATTGAACAAAGCCCGGGTAACACTAATATGTCTTGATAGGGTGCTATTTTAATCCGTTAGTAAGCAACACGTGATTACAAATTTCGCTTTCTGAAGTTGTTTTAGGGTATTTTAGTGTTGGATAACCACGTGTCTAGCCGTGGCGGAAAACATTACAAGAAAACCGCACGAGTTATTAACCGAGTCTGGTTTTGGCTGTTACTTTACTCGTGCTTTAAATTATGTTATTGAAAGATTGTATATACTTTTGTCACCTACGCCTACTAAAAACTATAATTTACATACACTCGACGTGATAGCTTAGTGTCCGGGCGCTCGCTTTTAATTCAATATACTTGAGCAACCTGCGCTGGATTCCCGGTGCCAATGACAAGTTCATTACAAATTTAAGTGTTGACTTCGCACGCGCTTACTGGTGAAAGAAAACATCGCGAAGAAACCATCATATCATCGAACTAATTATAAAAAAATAACATTTCGTAGATATGTGAAGTCTGGCAAACCGCAGTGGGGTCGCGTGGTGAACTTTGCCCTAACACAAAGGATAGGCTGTTACTTTTTCTACATACACTTGGATGACATAGTCCATATTCGATTTATTAACAGCTATCAGGTGTATTGAAACAAAAAAAAAACAACCGCCATCTAAACGTGAAACGTGTTTGTCCGCTCCACTAATAAGTAGGGCTAATAGGGCGTCCACGGCTCCTCGGTTCGCGAGTTGGGACCGTAGCAACGTTCGTCGAATTGTCGCCGGTCGTCCGACGGTGGTCGGACTTCGCACCGAGGTGTCGGCAAACAGCTGCCGCGACGATAATCACCAACAAAGCTCGCCTGTTTGCTCGCGTCTGCTATGCGTAGCTAGAAATCGTAAAGGGCTTAATAGATAAACCCAGCGTTTCGCCTGGAAAGGGCAACTATTGCACATAACTTACGCGGCAATGGAAATTTATTTCATCTACGAAGGTTGACGAACGTATCTGATACAAGAAAAGTATTTTGAAATATTTTAAGTACTTTTCATCGATTTATATTTGTCGTGCTAAAATGGATCATAATCAGTTTCAACCCTTTTATAAGGCAATATATTGAAACTTTATTTTATGGAATCAGATTATAACAAAGCTTTAAACACCGCTTAGTCAAGATGCCTAGTGAAGATTAGAGCTCAGAATAATACTTCACCAAGACGATTAAAAATAACTCCGTAATCCTTTCATTTAGATCGATGTCGTTGTGGACTGTTAAACACGAAACGTTCTTGTAAATCGTATACGCTTACGTAAATCGTTAGCGGTCTGTTAGCGAGGCCATCACACGCCATACACCCGCCACAATGCCCTGTTGACACATGACATGTCAAACTGCGCAGGCGCAGAGCAAACACTCTGATTGTGTTTATAGCCACTTAACAAGAGTCCGCGACAATTCCGATTAGTACACGAGAAAAAATTCACCCGCGTATTTGTCTTAAGCGAGAGCAGCTACTTTGTAAATGGCCCTTTTTATTACTATATAAAAAGAGCTTTCTCGTAACTGCACTGCGTTCTCCCAACTTCTCACTTTTACGATGACTTTCGGAAATGCATTATCGATAGTATTATTAAAATTTTGACGTTTCATAAGAACCGCAATCGTCTATGTCAATAAAGATATTTTATTATTTTTATTATTATTCAAAATTTATGTACATTCCTATAGTGACATTGATACCTAAAAACAAATGCAATCAGCATAGATTTCGCCAAAAATTAGTTCTGAAATTTTGTCTGCATTAAAAATGCAGACAAAATTTCTCTTTCAAAAAATCTTTTATTCAAGAAGAAATTGTTGTCGGAAACTACTTTAATCTTTAAAACATTTGGTGTCTCTTTTGTTCACAATGATATTGGTGTATTATTCAGTATTTTGAATAATAATTTCATGAAATAGGTTTAAAAATGATACTTCTTGTATTTAGCGACATTAGAAATGGAACTTACTTTACGGATTTATGGCGTTTGTTTTAATTTTAATTCCCGACGTATCGAACCCTTTACAGCGTTAATAGTCTCTGTACCATTCTGACCATGAACGCTGTAAAGGGTATGAAACATCGGGAATTAGTTTCATTTTTAAATTTTAAAAATACTTACTCGTACTCACTTTGATTTCAAGTTTTTATAGGCGTTGCTTAAGAATGATTATTATGCACAGAGTTCCTTCCCAATGTACAAAGTTGTTCTATATAAATCCGATTGTGTGTAATCGGATATAGATATAAGGTTAAATATTACATGTATACTGAGTTTCATTTTTATTCTAGATGATAAAAACAGCAGGCGACCGAGGCGACCCGGACCAGAACGTAAGCCGCGCCAAGCGTACAGCGCTAAGCAGCTCGAAAGGCTCGAGACTGAATTCAAACTGGACAAATACCTGAGCGTCTCAAAAAGAATGGAACTATCGAAGGCGCTCGGCCTAACAGAAGTGCAAATAAAGACGTGGTTCCAGAACAGAAGAACGAAATGGAAGAAGCAATTGACGTCCCGTTTGAAAATCGCACAGCGCCAAGGATTGTTCCCCGGACAGTTGTTCGGGCACAATCCTCAGGCCTATTCGCTTTTAAATCCTTACGCCTACGCCCCCCTTAGCTGTGTCTTCACCCCCGTTACCTTACCATCAACACCGTGAAGTCGAATTTATTTCTTTAGTTTCTTTTCGTGCACTAGACTTGACATAAGTTTCCTGTATTTTTGATGTCGACTACAAAAATGAAGGAGTTTCTCGGTTAGGTTGAATTTGTTTCGTTTGTTCACTGAGATATGAACTCGGTCGTTTATGAACCGACTTTAAAACTTATTTTTGCATTTGATTCAGTCTAGCTTAGGACCTTGGACTCCGGAGAAATATCAGGGAACTCTTTATATATATATAATCCTCAAAAATCAATTAGAAAAAATATAGTCAGTGTGAGTTAGTAAGAAGTTTTTTGTATGAGTAATATTTTACTTACAAGCAATACTAAAAGAGGTACCTACTTCGAATTTCGATGTTTACTTATAAATGTTGTGTAAAAATAATTAAATTATGAATTGTAATATTTGATATTACAACCTACAATTCAATTTAACTCCACCTTTGTTCTCAAAGCCGTGATAGCTCCGTGTCCGGGCGCTCGCCTTTAATTTAATAAACTCGAGCAACCCGAGTTCGAAACCCGGTGCCGGCACCGACGAAATTGTTAATTTAAAGAGATATCTTATCACATGCTCAGCGGTGAAGGAAAACATCGTGAGGAATGCTATATATTATCGAAATAATAAAAAAAATATTCGGACTTAACATGTGAAGTCCGCCATGCCGCAGTGGTGCTGCGTGGTGGACTATGCCCTCATACCCTCTATAAAGAGGAGGCCTTTGCCCAGTAGTGAAACTTTACTTGTTCTCAACAATTAATAACAATGAATTAGACAATAATAATAAGACATTCCAGTACTACATGACATTCAGTGTAGTTCATGACTTATTAAACAATAATTATGTCATAAATGTAATAAATATTTGTAAGCAGTTATAACGTTGCACGAAAAGAGATCTTATATTACTATATTTATTCTAAATTCAAATCAAAATCATTGTTACAATCAAAAACAAATATTCTAAAAATGAACGGGTGAAATATATTAACCCAGCTTATTTGATATTAAAAATGCGCCCAAACATACCCATAGTGTTGAACTTTAACGGGGAACTGTGACATTACAACGTCGTAACGCTGGTTGATTTTCGTAACATTTGTCGAGTGTTAACTATTTTAATAACAGTGTGAAATATACATAATCATTCTTTAACTCGCTACTTTTCTCACTTTGTCTATTGGTTTGTCCTATATCAATGGTGTGAATACTGCGGTAGTATAGTTTGCTTAATGTCGCGATATCGATGATAAACGTATTTTTTTTAATATAGATTCTGTTATCGATATATAGAAATAAATATTTTAGGTATTGAGTAAATATTGTGGACTGCTAATTAGTAGTACTGAATTATTTAAGTTACGTTATTAAACATAACAAACAACGTTTCCTTTCTTCCCGGTGTTGTTGGTAAATTAAATTATTTGTAGTTGTGAGAAACTATTGCCAACATTTTTAACTAACGGGAAAACTGTAAAAACTATTTAGGTTTACTTGCGTACGTATGCGTAATTAAGATTAATAGTTTTAACGTTCCAAAAACCTACATATCATTAAAATATATCAAATATGTATGTATCTTGCTATGTTAATTAATATCACAATACAACAAATATAATAAAGATGTGTGTGTTTCATTACTTTAAAACTCTTTAATTTCCTTACACTAATATTTTTAATAGCACATAATATAATTATTTGAAACATTATCATGACCTTAAAGACCTAAGATGTAAATCAAATTTAAACTAACACTTCATCTTAAAATGGAATAATACATATTAAAAGATAAAGAAGTGTGGTAGGATTAATGTACCATAAACTATTAGCAGTATGAGAGTCTTTACATAAAATAGGTTGGAGATTTGCCTAACACACGGGTTTCACATGGAAAAGCGCAGAAAGAATAAAGCCCCACCTGCCTCCATTAACGTGACAGTGAAGCCAAAAATCCCCTATCAGGAAAACCAATAAATTAAAACACATTTACAAGTATAAGAACGGTATCTTTGAAATAAGTTTTATTGATATTCCTTCAATCAAATGCAATGGTGTTTCGGGTAAAGATGTTCGCAATCAGCTCCGCCCAATCCCAGCACAGAGGCACGCAAGGCACCGAGAGCACCTCCACGCAACCATGCCACACCAGCACTGCAAAACGTACATTTATTTTACATTTTTCTAAATAACGTTTTATACCAAGCACAAATGTTTCCGACCCTTTCACTTGTCGTCATTACTTGTATTTGAATAATAAAGACACATCTTCCGTTAAGTTCCGGGCCTAACGATTATACCGCCTTAATAAAAATGGGAAATAATCACCAGCGATTTTCTCAGGAATGGGTGGACCTAGTATGTTGAAAAAAGTTTGCCAAATTTCGTGATACTAGGTCAACGGAAATGGTTTTACCCTAATCATAAAAATATCGCCCATATCTTTTTATCGTGTTGACTCATAACCTCGATTTTCTCAGGAATGGATGGACCTAGTAAGTTGAAAAAAGTTTGCCAAATTTCGTGATACTAGGTCAACGGAAATGGTTTTACCCTAATCATAAAAATATCGCCCATATCTTTTTATCGTGTTGACTCATAACCTCGATTTTTATACACCTAATAAAGACTATAGACCTCAGTATCTAGTATAAATTTAAATTTGCTAGGTCTACCCGTTCCTGAGAAAATCAGTCGTGACACACGGAAAGACACGAGACAAGAAAGGTAAGAAAGGACAAGAGAGTGATCTTATAAGAGTTCTTTTTTTTTACCTTTTAATGTACGGAACGCTATAAGCACGTAAGATGAATATGGTTCACATGCTAGTAGTGGCGGGTGCCTACCATGTGCCCGGTAATCGAATAAGGCGAAGTATTTATACACCTCAGGCTGTCCTTCTGTTAGACCGCGGAGATGACCTACTCAAATTCTTCACTTAATGCGCAAAAGTAAAGTACATTAACTGCCAACACGACTGCTGGGCAAAACTTCCTTCGGAAAGAGGAGAGCTTTTATTGCAGCTGGCGCTCTTATTTGAATTCGCGTTGCTTTTGTACACTGAATTCTTCTTCTTTCTCCTACCCTTATCCCACCTAGGCGGGGTCCGTACAACAAGTGAATCATGTTATTAGTATTATCCAAGGCCGAATCACCTGTCTAACATCAAGCCTCCTCGTGAACAAACACCCAGATCCCGAACAGTCACCCGTGGATAACTTTTCTCGTTATAGAATCGAGCCCAACACCACGCAGAACTAGAGCCAATGGCTTAGCAAGTACGCCACAGTGATCTTAAGAGTCCGAGTCTTATGTACACTGAATGAAAAATATGCACATACAAAAAATCTACTATTATTAATATTATACTTTCATTATTATCATGAAGCAATGTGATGATTATATCATGTTGTGTCCGGTAATATATAAACTCTTTCAAACGATTTTCTGTTGTATCATCGAATTAATACCTAAAAAAAACCCTTCAAAAGTTGAAAGAGCAAAGGTGAAATCCGAAGAAGGCTATTCAAAATACAATGCACTATGACATTGACATTGTACTTACTGCCACAGCGGCAGCCAATAGCGATTGGTGTTATCTAAGTTCTTCGCGCGCTTGTTGCCCAGGCAAAGCACGCGGTACAGGCAGGGCGTGCTCCGCGGCCTGACCGCCATGAGGGCATATCTCGTCAGCGTGTTTAGATCCCTAACAGGCGCCGCTCGGCCCGAGTCTCTCTTGAACCGGAACACCTCGTCCACGTTCACCGTGTCACCGTTGTCGACCATCTGCATGACTTGTGTCCGCTGGTCGCTCTGCGTGTTATCAGTTTGTTGAATAGAATTTTTTAATGGATTTGTTCTCGTTCAGTTTTGTCTCATTCACGAGATAGAAAACCATAAAATATTTTTATTTAAAAACATGTAGTATCCACATATCAAAATTGTAAACACCGTATTGACTTTGAGTATACGTAAACACAAGAAATCATTATCAATGCGGTTTGTAAATTTTGAAATTTTTCGCGATCGTTCGTGAACGGTGTCATCGAGCATTAAGTATTTGAAATTTCTTTATTGGCATACGATTGAGAATCCATGTCCATCATCTGCAATATAATATTCCCGCATACAGATAAGATCACTCATTTTATATTATATAGGTACATATTTACTATGTATTTTCATAACTTAATTTTTCCATAATCAACCGAGACTCTTTTCAAAAGTATTAATTTAGAAAAACTATTTTACCATTACTCATAATTGATACGAAAGTGGACACGTGAGGTACGCATACACAAGAAATAATGATGTATATTCCTTAATTTGATTTTTCAATGATTCTTTTTTCATATTATAATAAATGCACCTACTTGGACTTTTCTGGACCACCCAACAGTTGACTGGTAAATAATGCTGATGGCATTAAGTCCGCCTTTGTACATATTTTGTGTACATAAGGAATAAATAAATAAATGAAATAAAATGATCATCGTCACCTAAGAAGCCAAAAAATTAAAACTTATACGTAATAATAATAAAAAGTGTTTCTGCCGTTTCCAGAAACGGGAATACGACACATACCATAGTTATACACATCAGCACTTGAAGTACAAACATGCCGAACGACAGAAAGGCAATGCCTGTAAGCGAAATATCAAATAGGTCAGCAATTCCCAAGCCGTTGTGACTCTCACGTTCCACCACATAATCCTCGTGAGGCTCATGCGGAGCATGATAGACTGGTGGCGGTGGCGGTGGCATTGAATATTCATAACCACCACCTGAAATTGAAACCCGTTGAACATAGTCGTAGCTAGTCGTATCTACTTTCGATGAGATATAATTAATTTATAACTGCACTTTTCGAGTTGAATAGCAATTGAGGGCTTTGTTTTGGGCTGGATATTAGAATCGAGCATTTGAGGGTACCAAAGCTGTAGGTGTGTCCAAATGTAGAGGTATTTACAGTTCCATTTTTCGTCTATTCAGTATGGTATGGCTACTAAATTAGATCCAAACGAGGTAGTTTATCGGAACATGAACTTACTGTGCTTGGAGACCTCATAAGGCATTGTCTCGGCTTCAGAGTAACTTGGCGTGTCGTGGCCTTCATACACTTCGTACCCTTCCCGTGTTTGCAAATGTGGTTGTAATGTATGTGATGACGGCACATTGCTTGCGTTAATGGTATTATTTACTTTATAATGTCGGTATACGTCGTTGATAGCGGCTACTCTGAAATTACAGGAAAAGAGCGGAACCATCTTGACTACCGGATGTCGCTTTTAGGTGGTCACTTTCAACTTCTATAACATGCCGTATTTTGTAATCAATCCCCATAGATGACAAATGTTTGTGCCCTCCATAAACTGTTGTTAAGAGTCTGCGAGTCCAACGTGCCCATGATTTTTCGTATTTGCTACATAGGATTTATTTCTTAATGCCATATTAAACAAGAAATATCGTCTTCAAGGCGAGTATAAATATAGACTTCTACTGAGTTGACGATTGACAAAAAGAGTCCATAATAAAAAATAAATCTGCATTTTTTTTATGTAAAAATATAAACATATATCCCCCGATTGTCTGTCTGTCTAAAAGCTCGTCTCGAATAGATTACGTTAATTAATCCACGTGTTAAACACGTGGATTAATTAACATGTGTTCAATTGAAAATTAAACGAAAATAAGAATTTTAAATGATGATATTTCGATATTATTTAATAATTAGATGTTAATTATATGAACTTTATTTATGTTTTCATTTAAATTCCATCTCTAGACTTGAGGGGGCTGAAATCGCATAAGATGGTTTTTATTCAACTTGAAATCCTTAACTACTTCCTTTACTTATTTAGCGCCCATTTAGAAAAAAACTACACGACATACTTAGAGAGCCATTCCTGGTAATTTGCTGATCCGATATCGTACATAACATTGTTTCTCAAATCCTGTGACCGTGATATTGCACTGCCATCTTTGCTGTTAACGTCATATGGTTTTCCAAGTCGACTCTGCATCACCGATTTGCCCATCTCCTGCAATATTTGTTCGGCAACATAGTTCCGGCACTGATATTCGTTCATCATTTTTCTGAAAAAAATGATTTCGATATACATATATAATTTCAAATCGGTGTTTTTGTTTCTTATGCTTACGTTACCAAAACCACAACTGTTACGCTTACTAAAACTACAACACAATTTGCAATGTCTGTTCCATTGAAAATGTTAGAAAACCCTTTTGTATTGTTATGTTGCTTGTAAAATTTTGAACCTAAATAGTAAATAAATATGAATTTACTTTTTTTCTCTTCTTATGTTTATCAACCGATTTTATATTTAGTAGCAATTGCAGAGTTTTAGTGTAATCCATTTATTTAAACCAAACATTATTTTCATTAGCTTTTAGGACATTATTGAACTATTTTAAGGACATACAATATAAGTGGACTCAGCTAAACAATAAACGAATAAATAAGCGTAGATTTTTTTTAATGTTGAAATTAACACAGGTTTACAACATATTCTTAATAACGATTATGGTCGAAATTTAATCACCGGCAAGTAAGAATAAATCAACTCAATTAATATAATTGATGGTCACAAAATATTTTTAAAAATAATATAAAGAAGAAAATATATAAAGAGAAACGTAAAGACAGTAAAAAGAATAACTCGTAAACATTTGAAAAATCAATACAATATACAATTACCTGTGAAAGTCAAGCATGGAAAGAGCAGCATCCATTGACCCATTGACGGGAGGTAAAATATTTTGCGTTACATTTAAATCTACCATATCTCCGTTTTCGGCATTTATCATAAAATACGTAGGCATTAAATCGTTACGCAGTACATCGTTGACATTTAGCTCGGTATCGAACGTTTTTAACATATATGCATTTCTTGCACACAAAATTAAAAATAATAAAACACAAACTTTTGCATGGCTCATTGTTTACTTCTTCTATAGAGCAACCGTACAGAAAGATGGGGAAAATGACGAATGATCGTTCCAACTCTTGATCTTCAACGGAAAGATTACACGAGTTATAGAGCAGAAAATTCCCCGACGGTGATATTATCGTCGCAGTTTTAAGGTGTAACTGTACATTTAGAAAAGAAATGTGTCAAATTTAAACTTGTACAGGTACGCCAGAACTGGTGAACTGGTTTGTTATTGTGTTTGAAATATATATAATTTCAAGGAAAAGCTTACTGCTACTTTTCAATAACATAATAAAAATAATCTTAACATTACATATTTTTATTGATAGAGTAACAATAGATCAAACATTCTGCGGGATATCTCTTGTTTTATTATTTTTCGAATTTATAGTAAACTAAATTTCGCTAATGCTTTATTATTACGCGCTTTACTAACAATTTTGTTAGAACATTATGTTCCATCAAAATTGTTAGAAACACTGCAATCAGTAGCTGCTGATTAAAACTGTAAACACTGTGTTAAAACACGTGATTTAGAAATTATACTCGTATAGAGTTGATGACGATGAGGAAAAAAATTTAACTGACATAATAATATATAGTCCATTGACTTTTTTTTTTTTTAGCAATTTAAATTGTTTATAGTGCTAATCTTTGCACTTAAGATAGAACATTAAAATATGTAGAAAAAGTGCGAAAAGATTGTCGCCGCTGTGGGAATCGAACCCACGTCTTCGGCATTCGCGGCCTGACGCTCTAGCCACTGAGCTAAACGGCTGATTACCACACCGACGAAAATCTTAACGCATTCTTCCACATTGTTTTCTTAGCATTTGAAGCAATGCTTGGCGCCATCTATTGTTATATCCTTTCCAGCATACAAACAATTTCGAATATCGTTTTACAACGATAATTCGAACGACAGATGTCGCCATTGCTTTATTTTTTTTTTTTAGCAATTTAAATTGTTTATAGTGCTAATCTTTGCACTTAAGATAGAACATTAAAATATGTAGAAAAAGTGCGAAAAGATTGTCGCTGACGCATCTGACGCTCTAGCCACTGAGCTAAACGGCTGATTACCACACCGACGAAAATCTTAACGCATTCTTCCACATTGTTTTCTTAGCATTTGAAGCAATGCTTGGCGCCATCTATTGTTATATCCTTTCCAGCATACAAACAATTTCGAATATCGTTTTACAACGATAATTCGAACGACAGATGTCGCCATTGCTTTATTTTTTTTTTTTAGCAATTTAAATTGTTTATAGTGCTAATCTTTGCACTTAAGATAGAACATTAAAATATGTAGAAAAAGTGCGAAAAGATTGTCGCCGCTGTGGGAATCGAACCCACGTCTTCGGCATTCGCGGCCTGACGCTCTAGCCACTGAGCTAAACGGCTGATTACCACACCGACGAAAATCTTAACGCATTCTTCCACATTGTTTTCTTAGCATTTGAAGCAATGCTTGGCGCCATCTATTGTTATATCCTTTCCAGCATACAAACAATTTCGAATATCGTTTTACAACGATAATTCGAACGACAGATGTCGCCATTGCTTTATTTTTTTTTTTTAGCAATTTAAATTGTTTATAGTGCTAATCTTTGCACTTAAGATAGAACATTAAAATATGTAGAAAAATATGTAGAAAAAGTGCGAAAAGATTGTCGCCGCTGTGGGAATCGAACCCACGTCTTCGGCATTCGCGGCCTGACGCTCTAGCCACTGAGCTAAACGGCTGATTACCACACCGACGAAAATCTTAACGCATTCTTCCACATTGTTTTCTTAGCATTTGAAGCAATGCTTGGCGCCATCTATTGTTATATCCTTTCCAGCATACAAACAATTTCGAATATCGTTTTACAACGATAATTCGAACGACAGATGTCGCCATTGCTTTATTTTTTTTTTTAGCAATTTAAATTGTTTATAGTGCTAATCTTTGCACTTAAGATAGAACATTAAAATATGTAGAAAAAAATACGAAAAGATTGTCGCCGCTGTGGGAATCGAACCCAGTAATTCGGGATTCGCGGTTTGACGCTTTAGCGAATGAGCTAAACGGCTGATTACCGCCCCGACGAAAATCTTATGCATTTGAAGCAATGCTTGGCGCCATCTATTGTTATATCCTTTCCAGCATACAAACAATTTCGAATATCGTTTTACAACGATAATTCGAACGACAGATGTCGCCATTGCTTTATTTTTTTTTTTTAGCAATTTAAATTGTTTATAGTGCTAATCTTTGCACTTAAGATAGAACATTAAAATATGTAGAAAAAGTGCGAAAAGATTGTCGCCGCTGTGGGAATCGAACCCACGTCTTCGGCATTCGCGGCCTGACGCTCTAGCCACTGAGCTAAACGGCTGATTACCACACCGACGAAAATCTTAACGCATTCTTCCACATTGTTTTCTTAGCATTTGAAGCAATGCTTGGCGCCATCTATTGTTATATCCTTTCCAGCATACAAACAATTTCGAATATCGTTTTACAACGATAATTCGAACGACAGATGTCGCCATTGCTTTATATTTTTCGCATTTGAAGCAATGCTTGGCGCCATCTATTGTTATATCCTTTCCAGCATACAAACAATTTCGAATATCGTTTTAACAACGATAATTCGAACGACAGATGTCGCCATTGCTTTATTTTTTTTTTTTAGCAAATTTAAATTGTTTATAGTGCTAATCTTTGCCTTAAGATTGAACATTAAAATAAAAATGTAGAAAAAAGTGCGAAAAGATTGTCGCCGCTGTGGGAATCGAACCCACGTCTTCGGCATTCGCGGCCTGACGCTCTAGCCACTGAGCTAAACGGCTGATTACCACACCGACGAAAATCTTAAACGCATTCTTCTACATTGTTTTCTTAGCATTTGAAACAATGCTTGGCGCCATCTATTGTTATATCCTTTCCAGCATACAAACAACTTCGAATATCGTTTTACAACGATAATTCGAACGACAGATGTCGCCATTGCTTTATTTTTTTTTTTTAGCAATTTAAATTGTTTATAGTGCTAATCTTTGCACTTAAGATAGAACATTAAAATATGTAGAAAAATATAAAGCAATGGCGACATCTGTCGTTTCGAATTATCGTTGTAAAACGATATTCGAAATTGTTTGTATGCTGGAAAGGATATAACAATAGATGGCGCCAAGCATTGCTTCAAATGCTAAGAAAACAATGTGGAAGAATGCGTTAAGATTTTCGTCGGTGTGGTAATCAGCCGTTTAGCTCAGTGGCTAGAGCGTCAGGCCGCGAATGCCGAAGACGTGGGTTCGATTCCCACAGCGGCGACAATCTTTTCGCACTTTTTCTACATATTTTTTAATGTTCTATCTTAAGTGCAAAGATTAGCACTATAAACAATTTAAATTGCTAAAAAAAAAATAAAGCAATGGCGACATCTGTCGTTCGAATTATCGTTGTAAAACGATATTCGAAATTGTTTGTATGCTGGAAAGGATATAACAATAGATGGCGCCAAGCATTGCTTCAAATGCTAAGAAAACAATGTGGAAGAATGCGTTAAGATTTTCGTCGGTGTGGTAATCAGCCGTTTAGCTCAGTGGCTAGAGCGTCAGGCCGCGAATGCCGAAGACGTGGGTTCGATTCCCACAGCGGCGACAATCTTTTCGCACTTTTTCTACATATTTTAATGTTCTATCTTAAGTGCAAAGATTAGCACTATAAACAATTTAAATTGCTAAAAAAAAAATAAAGCAATGGCGACATCTGTCGTTCGAATTATCGTTGTAAAACGATATTCGAAATTGTTTGTATGCTGGAAAGGATATAACAATAAATGGCGCCAAGCATTGCTTCAAATGCTAAGAAAACAATGTGGAAGAATGCGTTAAGATTTTCGTCGGTGTGGTAATCAGCCGTTTAGCTCAGTGGCTAGAGCGTCAGGCCGCGAATGCCGAAGACGTGGGTTCGATTCCCACAGCGGCGACAATCTTTTCGCACTTTTTCTACATATTTTAATGTTCTATCTTAAGTGCAAAGATTAGCACTATAAACAATTTAAATTGCTAAAAAAAAAAAATAAAGCAATGGCGACATCTGTCGTTCGAATTATCGTTGTAAAACGATATTCGAAATTGTTTGTATGCTGGAAAGGATATAACAATAGATGGCGCCAAGCATTGCTTCAAATGCTAAGAAAACAATGTGGAAGAATGCGTTAAGATTTTCGTCGGTGTGGTAATCAGCCGTTTAGCTCAGTGGCTAGAGCGTCAGGCCGCGAATGCCGAAGACGTGGGTTCGATTCCCACAGCGGCGACAATCTTTTCGCACTTTTTCTACATATTTTAATGTTCTATCTTAAGTGCAAAGATTAGCACTATAAACAATTTAAATTGCTAAAAAAAAAAAAATAAAGCAATGGCGACATCTGTCGTTCGAATTATCGTTGTAAAACGATATTCGAAATTGTTTGTATGCTGGAAAGGATATAACAATAGATGGCGCCAAGCATTGCTTCAAATGCTAAGAAAAACAATGTGGAAGAATGCGTTAAGATTTTCGTCGGTGTGTGAATCAGCCGTTTAGCTCAGTGGCTAGAGCGTCAGGCCGCGAATGCCGAAGACGTGGGTTCGATTCCCACAGCGGCGACAATCTTTTCGCACTTTTTCTACATATTTTAATGTTCTATCTTAAGTGCAAAGATTAGCACTATAAACAATTTAAATTGCTAAAAAAAAAAAAATAAAGCAATGGCGACATCTGTCGTTCGAATTATCGTTGTAAAACGATATTCGAAATTGTTT